TTGCATTGTTTTGAAAGACTATTAAGCATGTTTGAATAAATCTTATTTTAATGGATACACCTATATTTAAAATATAGGGCCCAAAATAGGTCCATTAGGAAGTTAAATACAGAAAGATGTCCTCTTCTCATGTACAATGATAAAATATAACATGAGGTTGTCTCTCTTTGCAAATGTCAAGCTAAAAGAGATCATACTCTGCAATCAATACATCAGACACTTAAAGATTGAGAAAGTTGATAAAAAGAAAGAAGGCTACTGAAAATCCCATCAATTTATTTTTCAAGGGAGGTTTTGATTAAATAATTAACCTTGATTAAACAAAAACTTCTAATTTTCTCCAACCTTTTTAGTTTTCACCTCAGAAAACTGATGCCATTCAGATGCTTAAGTCCTCATCAAAAATCAGTGAGCATCTACTTTAATCCGTGCAAAAATCAGTGAGCAGCCACTTTACCCTGCTCTGTCTGCACACAGACAGTAGGGAGCACAGATATGGCTGAAACCACTTGCTTTAATCTGATCCATAAATAAGAAAACTCTCTCTCTGGTTAAGCATTTGGCTGATTTTTCAGAGTTGCAGTTTTACATAGTGAGGAGGGGGAAGAGAAATGGAAGAGAATGTTTCCATCAGATTTTTTTCTATAGTAGCCACTGGCTTCTATGCGGGTTTGGCATGTATCAGGCAGAGAGGTATTTGTTAGCTGTAATTTTGCATATGATATTATTGTCACATCCAAATACCTATATGGACTTTTAGCTAAAGGGTGTTCATTCAGGACATAAGTACTCCTTACCTGTAATACAACTAATAAACTGGAACAGAGGTTTCACTTTACACTCCATGGGTGTGAAATTGTAGTTTTAAAACACATGGTAGCAATGATGCTTTGTCACAAGAAGAGCTTGTAGTTAACACACACATACAAAAATCATAGTTTCATATTATATAGAAGACTATGACTACAGTCATAATATATAACACACACACAAAACAAACACAAAACTGTGACTATCCCTGCGGAAATGAAAGCAGAGAAAAACAAAACTGGAATCAAGAGAACAAGATTATCCTCTATCTGTTGTGACAGGCAATCAAAGCAGGCAGGAAATGTACACAGATGGAGGTGGACAATCAGCCCGAGATACGACGATAAGGAGGTGCTGCCATTTCAGACTCTCCCTTTACAGGGCCGGTGCCGGCCGGCCGGGTGCACACAGTGCTAGTGAACAAGAGGCGGCTCTTCAGGAATCATCACCTCGAATCTCAGCGTTGACAGAGTGCAGGTCAGAGGCTACAAGGTGATACACGACTTGGTGCCAACCTTAGCTGACGAAGAGGAGTGGGGGAAAAAGTTAAAAAAAAAAAACCCTCAAGCCTCCACCATCCAAAGGAATTCTTTGGGTGAGGGGAGAGGGGGCACCTGTTATCATCATAGCAAGAAAAATTAAAAGAAACCTTCCCGGGAGGAAACGAGCACCTGAACAGCATACAACCCAAAGGAAAGCACCAAAAGTTCCACGGGAACTTAAGGAAGAATTTTTTAACAGTGAGGGTGACAGAGCCCTGGCACAGGCTGCCCAGGGAGGTTGTGGAGTCTCCTACTCTGGAGGTCTTCAAAACCCGCCTGGATGCCACCCTGTGCCACATGCTCTAGGTGTGCCTGCTTGAGCAGGAAGGTTGGACTAGATGATCTGTAGAGGTCCCTTCCAACCTTAAATATTCTGAAATATTCTGAAAGCACCAAAAGTTCCACGGGAACTTAAGGAAGAATTTTTTAACAGTGAGGGTGACAGAGCCCTGGCACAGGCTGCCCAGGGAGGTTGTGGAGTCTCCTTCTCTGGAGATCTTCCCAACCTGCTTGGACACAGCCCTGTGCCCCATGCTCTGGGTGACCCTGCGTGTGCAGGGAGGCTGGACTAGATGATCTCTAGAGGTCCCTTCCAACCCTAAGGATTCTGAGATTCAATGATTCTATGGAATCAGACTATCAGGCACCATTCCTGACAAGGGGGCAGATCAGCAGAGTCTCCCAGGCTGTTGTGCTACCCACAACATGCTCCTTTTGTAGAACTGTCTTATTTAAAGTTTTCTGTGTCTGCTCCCTACAGCTTTTCTATCATTATGTACTATGTGAATGAATCTGACGGTTTCTCCTACTTTCAGCAGTCTAACACCAGTGGGCACCATTTTCACACCCATAAGAATAAAAACCACCTTTGCAGTCTTACCCACCAGTCTCTCCTCTGAGCTCTTCCAGTAAGGGCAGGAAGGACATCACTTCAGAGGAAAATAAATAAGAGGTTGCTATCTAGACCAATCATTTTACTGCTGTGTACAGCTGACAKTGCTGTTTTCATAGTAACTCTTCAGTGTTAATAGGAAAACAAACCTCAGCCTTAGGAAAAAAAAATAACAAACAAAAATACCCTCATGGTTTTCTAAATCCCTAGCAGAAAGGTCATGGGGCATGCTAGAAGGACAAATGCAACTTGCTCACATCAGACATGGGGAACAACACAATAGCATTAGGAACAGGAGCCATTTCCCCTACATGCCCATACTTTAATATCTCTTTTTATCTCACTATTCGTGCCTGCCTTCACCCTCCACACCAAACCAGTCCCAGTAAGCAGCTCCCAAGTCACACCACCAGATGCTGAAGGACACGAGTCTTTGATCGCAGCACCGCTTTCTTCCAGAGCTGGAGCRCTCTTTAGAGCGAAGGAGCCTGTGGCTCGCGCGTGGACTGTCATGGACAGGGGCTGCCGGCTGCTCCGAACGCAGCCAGGCTCCGAGTGAGCGGGGAGGATCTGCCAGTGGGAAGGATCACAGGATTAAGGGCCTGTACTGCAAGCCCGGGGTCAAGATCCGTCTCAGAGYGTGTGTAATCACCTCTCTTGTACTGAATTAATTACTCTGTTCCCTACTCTGTTTTTCAGTCTTCTTCCAATACCATCTAAGGGACCTGACCCAGCAGCTGAAAAACTCTTTACACTCACTCACCTGGAGCRCAGCACAGTTACAAAGCAGGTCAGAAACGTGCAGATCTTCCCTGTGAGGGTGCCAGAGCCCTGGCACAGGCTGCCCAGGGAGGCTGTGGAGTCTCCTTCTCTGGAGGTCTTCCCAACCCGCCYGGATGCCGCCCTGTGCCCCGTGCTCTGGGTGTCCCTGCTGGAGCAGGGGGGTTGGACTGGGTGGTCTCTAGAGGTCCCTTCCAACCTCAGCCCCTCTGTGATTCTGTGAGATTTATCAGATTGTGGAGAGAGGCAGCCTTCCTTCTGCGGTAATCTGCTTCTCCCTCTTACTGAAGTCTACTCTGGCAAAGGAATCTTTCCATAGGAGGGAAAATACAGCTAAAAATGATCCTTATTTTAAGTAAAGGCTTCAAATCAACTATCAGCTAAATTGTTTCCTTCGTTTCAGAAAACACGCAAGCATTTACTTGAGACAATTTGGGACTTTTGCTTTTGCTAAGATATAAAATGATCAAGAAAGGACTGACCGATAACAGCTCTAAAATTCCCCCATCTATCCATGACAATCCTTCTCTCGTAAGCAAGAATGTTAACATTTTACACTTCGGGGAAATAGGTTTCGGATGCGAGACAGAGAGGCAGAGAGCAACCAAGCGCAACCAAGCAGSATTCCCACTCCTCAGATTACAATAACAGGACACGATTATTCATTCTGTCAGATGCTTCAAACCAAGCCAATAAACAAACAAAAAGAACCCAAAAGACAAATAACAACACACTGGGTAAAATATCCAGTAGCATTTCTTCCTCTCCCTCCAAGTGCAGAAAAGCACCTCCTATCCCTCTTGCCCCAAGCTGAGGCTTGCAGGTCCTAACACTTCTGACAAACCAGAGACAAGCTGGGCACTTGCATCTTATCTACACGAGTCAAAGATAACTAAATGAGCCTGACAAAGCACTACAGAAGCACGTATCAGCTGCAAGATTTCTGATTATTCTCAGATACTGCACGAAAGCAGCACAATCCTCTCTCTCAGGCTTAGAATTGGCTCAGATATTTTAAAGAGGGCAGTAAGCCTTTTTAGGAAAAAACACACACTAAAAAATCTAGTCAACACCAGAGTGAAGAGGGTTATCTTGAATGCACAGGGCAGACTGCAGCTTTTTTGGTGAGTGTGGCTTCTTAGCATCACAGATGCATCTAGATAGTTTCATTCTGTAAAGATCCCCACAGTGATCATGAAAGGAGACGTAGGCTGATTCTTTTCAGAGATAAACCTGAAGAAACAACACTAACACAGATTCCTCATCACCGGTGAAACGGTGACCTGGGTCGTCTGATGAGCCAGCAAACGCAGCCTGGAGAGAAACACTTATCAAAAGTTAACAGTAAGATAAAATGCTTGTTTCTGTGTCCTTCTCTTCGACAGCATCTCACCGAACTGCTGTCACTTCAGTGATTCACTTYGATGGGATTCATTTCTTCTAAAATGTATTTCTGGTACCAAAGAGGCAGCAAGGAAACAAGGGAGCTTAAGGTCTCAGAATTACACAGTTTTGTAACACATTTTTTTTAGTAGACATGTCACCCAGTGTGGGCAGATCTGCAGTGATATAGAAGAGAAACATGCAGAGGTCATGAGCTAAGTTGCACTGCACCCCAACAACGATGAGGAGAAAATGTAATGTTAGGAGGAGCTGAATGGCTTAGTAAGAAATCCGACCAAATATCTTGTTTCTGATGACATTTCCATGAATATAGAAAAAGACATTTTGTAGAGGCACTGGCTTTCCCCAACTAAAACTCATTTCAGATCATTCCCTCACCCTCTCAAATTCATGCAACACTGATAAAGTTATTGAGCTTCTGCTCTGTTTTTATTTCATTTAAACAACAGGTCTAGGGCAAGGTGGGAAGAGAACAGCACCTTTTTTAAAAAGAAACAAAAAAACCTATGCTACATAGAATAAACAGGTGAGCTTTAAAAAAGTTAATTTATATACATATACATACACACAGTAAAACAAGTTAAAAATGAAAAGTTGGGGGGGAGGGACTATTTCCAACAGAATGAGGGAGAGGAAAGCCATATTTCTCAGCAAGCAAAAGCACCACAAGCTGAGATCACCATGCACTGTAGGTACCAACCCAGCCTGGGCGCTGGAAGCAGTGTAGCTACGGCAGCACAGAGCTCCACACAGGCCAATCTATCCCGCTCCGTGGCAGAATCACGCCCGGGATCTGCCTTCAAGGAYGTTCGCTGGGCAGACATTGCCACACGGGACGCTCTGCTCGGCTTTGTCGTGGCAGTAGCCACAAGAAGTGGTGAATGAGCGAGAAGAGGCGACTCAGAGCTCTGCCATGGCACTGATGTCCCTGGGGTGCTTCCCTCGCAGAGGTCTCTGTGCTCACCCATGTCTCCCGGGTGCTCTTTGCAGGTGCTGCCTGTGGGTCACGCAGCAGACAACCTCTCATCACTCATCACTTGTGCATCCAGTGCCCATTCTTGCCCACCTACTTCGTTTCTTCCCTTATTCCTCTTCCACTCCACAATGCCTCTTCTATTTCCTCCAGGCTGACAGGATATTAAAACTAGGAAGGGGCATGAACACCTAGAAAAGGGGGCTATTCAGTGACCAAATCAAGTCCAAAACAAAAATAAAACAAAACAAAAAAGATTTGTCTTCAAAATATTAGGGAAAAAAAGAGCCTATTCAATTCTGCAGACTTCTGGCAGAGTTTGCCCTTTCAGCCCAGAAGTCTTTGTCTTCAGGGCCCACAGGCTGGGCCATCTCACCTGGCAAGAAGTATGCAGGAACAAGGCAGAAGTCTGAGTAAAAGAAGAACAAAAGTTGTAAAGGTTGGGGAAAGAAGAGACTCTAACAGGGAAACTTAATGCCTAGCTGGTAGCACTTATGCTACACGGTAGGCTTTCAGGAGAGTGAACTCCTTCCTGTTGGTGCGAGCTGCCCAGATGAAGAGAGCAGCTGCCATGAACTGCAAAGGTGCCGAGACACAGGCCAGGCAGAAGGACCAGCCAAATTCGCCCTGCACGTCATCGGGCAGGGGCAGCTTCTTGTGGAGCAGCTCAATCCCAGCTACATAGCAGCCAACCAGGCCCAGTGTGCAGAGCCCTGCGGAAGGAGCAGGAAAATRTAGTGAGCTTCACTCTGGGGTGACATGAGGGGCTTCTGGAGGAGGGAGGGGAAGTGGGAAGGGAACCCACCTGCAAGGAAATGGAGGACTCCAGTGGCAATGGCAGGGTAAAGGCTGCGACAGGCACAAGCACAGAGCCCAATGAGAGCCCCAAAACACATGAGCCCAAGGCTGACAAAGGGCAAGAGAAACTGCAACCTCCAGAGATCTGCACAGGACAAAAAAGAAAACAAGAGTCATAGGTTTGTTTAAGGTATACTAGGGAAAAAAAATACAAGTGTCAAAAGTTTGTTCTAGGTGTACCAGAAAATGACCTTCTCCCATTTCCTTACATTCCCTTCTACGCGCATCCCCATTAGTTTAGTCAAAAAGGACAGAAGGCTCTACTGAAGTAAAACTCTTAGCTCCCAAATTCACAGGCAAAAGACCTTCCCAACAACATGTACTTTTATATCTTTTAGCCTACAGCCAGTCCTAGGAGATATACATATATATGTGTATGTAGGAGATATACATATATACGTGTATGTATGTATGCTAAATGTTTTTATCCCTGTCAGAAAAGAAAGACACTTACAAGTCCGATTCAGATCCGTGCCACTATTGTGGTTTCCAGGCTCTATGTATTTTTCCATGAACTGATCCGAGAGGGAAAAACTGATGCAATTTGTGGTCATATCATTCTCTAGAACAAACAAAATAGCAAAAACAATTACTATCAGACTGTTCCCTCCATTCTCCACTCAAATCCTCTCAATCTTTTTAGTCAAGTTTCTCCTCRGACTTAAAATTTTGAAGAAAAACAAAAGCTCTCTAAAGAAATTKGTAGGATGCCTATCAGAGGGTAAACATATTGCAAATTTAGTAAAGTGAGGCACAGYATTCAAACCTGCAGACTCTTCAAGCTCACATGGATAACCAAGAGATCTGTGCTGTACTCGCCAGACTGGAGAAAAATAAATCACATGACACTTGTCTATATTTTTACATATCCTTCTACTCTGAGTTCCATAATGGAAGTGTTCTTATTTCCATGTATAGAATGTTAACACCTTTTTAAACATATTTTGTAAAAATAAGATAGACTAGGATCATTTACAAGAAGAGAAATATTTGCTGTGTTATATTCAGTTCTCCCCCACTTGTGAAAAATGTTACTGAGCAAAGCTGATTTTTTTCCCCAGAAGGTGTTTCTATTAAAACATACTTCACAAAAAGCTTTTTTTTCTGCAGAAGTGCTTTAAAGTACTTTTTTCCCCAAAAAGAAGGCTCAAAATAAAGGGCTGCACACACATATCCACAGCATTGATGTACTCAAAAGTTATTTTGACGTGATTAAAATGAGTGTTCATCACTCTTCCTTTTGGCTCCCATCCCCAGTCAGTGTGACAAAAGAATACAAAGCATTTTGGTTTACATCTGCATTCTTGCAATGACATCCAGCACCCTGGTACAAGGACTACGSACACAATGGGACAGGTGAGACATGTGAGCAAAAGGAACAGCTCRCTAAAAACTGTGGATATCCATTTGATAAAGTAGTACAATTCTGCTGTCATTGGATGCCTTGAAATTTCTTTAAAAAAAAAAAAGAAGTGATTGGCAGAGCAAGAGTAACTGTATTCCCAGTGGGAAAGCAGATGGGAGATAAAAAAGAAAAACAAGCCACAGACTAAATTTAAATCAAGTATCATGTGTCGAATCCAGATTTTGTGGCACTAACAGCCACAGAACACTTTGCCCTGTACTTCCTTTAAAGTTTACACTGTCTTTACTCAAAACCCACAGAAGGTAAAAATAGGTCTTCTGCAGGAACAAAGCAGCGAGGACGTGTTTGCGGGGCATTTAGCAATGTGCTACCCCAGGCAAGCAAGAAAGGTGCCAACTGCCCTGGAGATACCTGGTGGGCTGTACCAGTGGGAGTTCTTGGGTACAGTGATGCACCTCCGCCACAGTCCAACTGTGCCATTGCAGCGGAAGAGCGCGTCCGTGTAGGTCTTCTCATCTGCCTCTTCGCTCACAAACTCTTCCCAGATGCTTTTGCCATTTTCCGTGACGTTCTCAGCCGGGGACAGGGTGTGGTATTCGTACCAGAAGTCGGTGCCGATTGAGGCTGCCATGTAGATGGTGGATATTAGGCTGAGAACACAGGCAATTACTAGTGCTGTAGCAAAACGGTTATCCATCATTGTGCCTTGGCTGCTGTAACGAAACAGAAAACAAGGGGAAAAAAATGAAGTGAATAACTCTGCGTGAATGACTCAGAGGACAAATTTACCCCAGCAGTGCGAAATTCTTGTCACCACCCCTCTATTTCCCTCCAGATATGGATCTCCTCCAACAAGCTGGAAGCAAAGGAACATTGAGCAAGTCTRCTACTGTACCAGCTAGCATCGACCGGATCTGCGAGTCCAAGGCAAAGAAGTTTCCCTTCTCCCACCCRCACCGTCACCAGAGGCAGCTGCTCTTCTCTGAGACAGCAAGTGAGAGCGCAACAGGGACCCTGACCCCTAAGCAGATGGCTCGGCTCATTTGTGATCCTGATGGTCAGGAACTGCAGAGAATCCGTCTCGAGTGCCCTGTCAGAAGACTTATCTTTCCTTAAGAGATTACTGAGGGCAGAAGTTATTTTTAGGCTGCCACCCTATTCGTCTTTCACAGCCTGTGTTTATAGCAAAGATAAGAACCACAGGGGAGCCAGGAAAGCTCTGCCTGGTCCTTCACAAAGAGCAGCCATGCTCAGGTGCTGGGATGGCTTTGGAAAGCAGAGAAATGTATCTAGACACTAGACATGAAGAACACAAAGGAAGCACCACAGTCAGAGGTGGAGATTGTGCCAAACGCTGCAGTGACAGAGCGGTGATTGCGGGGAGCGAGAACAAGGCAGAGGGAGCGCCACGTCCCTCGGGCATTAGGGGACAACAGTTTCCCAAACTGAAAGGTGTTGTGGATTGGCACAAGGACCTTGCCCGAACTCCCCAGAATACAGGTCACCGGCGCACGCCCTTCCAGGGCTGTACCCATCAACAGTGCAAGCTCAGGCACAYGAAAACAGAGACGCCAGGCATGCTGGCACTTATGGCAGGATTGTCACTCTGAGGAGTAACAGATTGATAATACATGAAATGTTTTGCAGAGAGTGAAATATGGCATAATCTGGTGTAATTATGCCAGGGGACTTTTGAGTGTCAATTAGGGTCATGCATTTTCTGTGCTCGATTAAATTTATGGATTGCGTTGAATCAGGCTTGATGTCTTTGTGAAACAAAATAGCAATTTAAATTAATCCAGCTAAAGCTAGTGTGGTGACAGGAGGCTGTGCCTGATCAGCTCTTGTCAGGTGGTTGTTTTACTTGGCTTCTCTCACACACTTGGTCAAAATATTTTGGTCTAGCTTCTTTCTGACTGAATAGATTGCAAACTAAACTGGAAACAGCAAGTTCCTAAAGGCACAACATTTGCAAGGCAAAATACAGGAACACTCAAGCCAAACTGAACCACGAAGTCTGCGTGATGAAACAAGTAAAAATACCGCAGTAAAAAACRAATACTGTGCAGCATTTAATCCTTTGATATGTATTTGCATTCTTCCTTGACATCTTCGCACTCAGCCCAAGGCACAGAGGGCWGCAGATGAGCAGAACAGAGAAACAGGATGTACCCAAATAAAAGTCGAAATCTCCGTTTTTCCTAATTGACCTTGCCGAGGAACTCCCCTCCCCTTTACAAACTTCACATAGCCAGCAGGGCAAGCAGCACCCACAGCCCTGCCACCCTGTTTCTGTCCAGCTGGGTGCACAGCTCTCCTGAGCTCCTGAGGTGCACAGCTGAGCTGCTCTCCTGGGAATTCTCTTGGATAAGCAGCGGAACAGGCTGTTGAACAGGCTAGTCTGGATTTGCCACTGTACTGTAGTCGTATTCACTGCAATAAGAACCCTCTGCGTTAGACTCCACTTTTCAGGAAGAGCTCTCTGGAAAGAGGAATCACAAGGAGCTACCAGCTCCATCCATCCACCTTCAGAGGAGCAGCCAGTGCCAGTAAAATGCAACTGGGGCTTCAATGGGCCACCTGTTTACAGCCAGTGCCTTGTGATGCTGATGCTTAAAACAAAAAGTCATATCACTTGGTACTTAATATACTGAAAGAAAACAACTGGTTCAAAAATTTGTATTTTCAGGTACAATACTCTGTTGTCAGGCCCAAAACGCTGGTGATGGGAATATTCTTTCTAGACTGTCATTAAAAAGCAACCATGTGCTTCTGGCCAGCTTGCTATGCATGGAAAAACATGCATGGGCTTGGCAGAGTCACTGTCAGCTAGCAAAAGGCAGCAATTCACAGGCAAAATGAAGGGTTAAACCTCAAACACAGAACTAAAACAGTGATCAGTGTTTGGTATACTCAGGGAAGGAAAAAAAAAAAAAAAAAAGACACGTGCACGTGTCTATGCAATGAATCCAGTGATACCGAATGATGGCAATGCACAACTCTGGAGAGAGGCAGAGAGGAGCTGAGGAGGATGCAGCCCCCAAGCTTGTGCTGCAATTGCCTGTGGAAGAACCCTGCGTCACGTTCAGCATGGACAGGCATGTGTCAGGGCAAAAGCAATACACACCCAGTGCCTTGTCATGCAGCTCKGCTCGCTGCTTCCTTCTAACATCTCAGCTACTTGCAAAAAAGAACTCCACAAACACGTTAGGCAAATTCTGACCTAGAAGTTTTTCCTGCCACACACACTGTACTACCCTGACTGCTCTGACTGCACTGACTACCCTGCCTGCTTGCACTGTATGCCCAATGCATCTTCACTGACAGCAAATGCACGTGCGCACTTAAAAGCCAGCAGATCTTTGCCATACTAAACGGCTGATAATGCTTCCAGTCCCAGGCAAAAACTCCATGGGACTAGTAAGCAGAGGCTGTGAAAAACAGGTTACCGGGGAGAGACAACGAGCATAGACAGTGCAAGATTATGCCACACCTTGCAGAAGGCTTCACTGCCTTAGTTATGCACAAAAATAAGCAGGATGTGTTTTGCAGAAAGATTAATTACAGAAAAAAAGGTAACTACTGGGCAAGGTGAAAGCACTTACAAGGACTTAAATACTGATACTAAATAGAAATACTTTCTGTCAATAAAGAACCTTAAWCCTTTTACAAAAGGTGCATTCTCACAACACACTTGGTTCTAACCCAGCACACTTGGTTCTAACCATAGGAGTCGTTTSAGGCTTTCTGGCTTAAACTAAGATGTACAGTGAACACAAAGCAATGCAARCAGAAATGCCTCCCAGAACATTGTAACTACACTTGTTTTCAAAGACATGAGACATGCTGGTGTTCAATAATACAGATTTCTAAACAAAACAAAGCCATGCACATGTGCAGCACGAAGGAGCTGCTGCTCAATACAAGAACACCAAGTGTCAATACATAAACCAGACAGTAAAGGCTAAACTAACTGCAATATTTAAGGGAAAGACATACATATGTCACTGAAACAAAAAAGAGGGTAAGGCAGCAAAGCTGAAAACAATTACAGCAGTATAAAATTAACCATTCTAGCAAACACAATGACTGGAAACAGAAAAAAAAAAGACACTTAAAAAGCATTTTAAGAAGCTACTGTAGCTTAGCAGAAAGGTAAAATGTAAGATGACTCATACTCTTTATTCAGCTACAGTAACAACTCCATTTGGTCAACAGCAGGCCCTCATATTTAAGAAATTCATTTTACAATTTGCCACAAAACAGCAGGACTGCAAATCCAGTCTACTGGATGCTGACATTCTCAGAAACATGTTTGCAAACTTGACTGATCCCTGGGAAAGCAGAGAGTGCAAGAAGATGTAAACATATGGAGAGACGACTACCCAAAAGACCCGACTTGTGATACTCTCGGGAAAGGGAGGATTAGTGGAGATGCCATCAAAGGTGCCTCACCTTCAAAGAAGAAGGAGCAGCTCCTCAGCACACTGGGCTCCAGGGATTCCAGGTCACTTCAGGGATAGTTTGCTCTCCGTGTTCTGCAGTAAGGCAAGAGCATGAGCTCCAACCTGCCCTAACTGTTCCATTCATTCCTTTTCCTCTTCAACATCACCAGCTCTTAAGAAGCGAACTAGGAACAGAAGACAAATCAAGCAGTTAAAGGCAGCACCAATTTGCCTTGAATTTGAAGAAATCTCCCAACATTATTTATTAAAATAATTAAGTATATGACTATGGGAGCCCTGCTGGCACCGCTACCGCCCATTCAGGGCAGGCGAGGAGGCCACGGCGGCGGGCAGGGGTCCCCACGAGCGGCTGACCCCAGGAGCGCTCTCCCCAGGGAGCACCAGGCCGCTCGGGGCCACCTCGCCCCCCGCCCCACACCGCGTCAGCCGGAGCCGCAGCCGCCCACGCCGCGCCGCCATGGCCGGGCCAGCCGCGCAGCGAGGCACCGACGAGACCGGCGCCGCGCAGCACGAGCCAGGGCGCCGCGCTGGGGCCCGGCCCGGCCCGGCCCGAGGCGGCTGCGGGACCCACCGGCCATCGCCGCCGGCAGCCCCCGCGCCGCCCCGGCCCCGCTTCCGCCCCACGCCCGCGCAGCGGCCGGGGCCAGAGCCGCGCCCCGCGCAGGCGCCGCGCGGCACCCTGGGCGCTGTAGTTCTGCTCCCGCCCCGCGCGGCGCGGCGCGGAGCCTGCCGGGAGCTGTAGTCCCTGCGCCTTGCCGGCGCCGCCGCGGAGCGGCCCTGCCCTCCTCACCCCCCCGCTCAAAGCAAACCAACAAATAAACAAAAAGCTCGGACTAACAGAGGGCTTCTCAAAGCAATTAGYAGCTGCTCAGGGACCACCACCACGGCCAGATTTGATCGTCCCATCCCCAAACTAACAGATGTTCTGAGCACTGAGTCACACCTTGGGGCTTTTTTGTGTCTCTTGAGGACTTCTGGGGAGCAATCCCACCTGGCTCCTCTTCTAGAGCTGCCAGGAACCTTTTTCTCTTTTTTTTTTTTCTTTTTTCCCAAAGGTTTTTTCAAGCTGGGGTGGTGAAGGTGGTAGTAGTGATAAAAACAGCCCTCTGCGATGCCTGCATCTTAGTGCAGGAGGCTATTTATAAGGAAAACAAAGCCTCCCACTATGCCATACCTTACAAAAACTGCCGAACTAAAATCTCAGCTGTTAGYGTGAGCAAGGAAATGCCCTGACTGGGACTTATGACAACTCTTAAAATATTAAGCATTAAAATACGAAATGCCTTTGTGGARGGCCTGGAAGAAAATGAAGCATCACCCCTGATAACCTCGGCCGATGACACAAGGCCCGTGGGAAGGGTAAATAATGAATCGGACAGGGCACTGGTGCAGGGTGACCTGATCGCTAGGAAGGTGGGGGCAAATAAACATGCATTTCAATATGGTCACTTACGAGGTCGTTCGTTTAGGAGCAGTGCGTGGAGGTGCTACTTGCACGATGGAGGGAGGACTTTATCCCGGGAAGCASCAAGAGCGAAGGACAGCGCAGCATGGCGGGTATCCAGCTGCCCATAGGGAGCTGTGACTGAAACGTGCGCCGGGAACCTCCGCTCTGCCAACAGAGAAATCCAGGGAGAAAGAAATCATGTCGCTTCTTGAGCTGCCACTTGTTGCTCAACTGCACATTGATAAAGTGAAGTCTGAGAAGGGGTGTGGAAATCACTGAGCAGGTAGAAGATAATTTTCAGTGAAATATCACTGAAGGTCAGGCTATAGTTTATTGAAGGGGCCATCGTGTAAGTAATGGCAAAAAGGAGCAAAAACTCGGTAATGGATTTTTCAGTTTACCTGGCAAAACTATCTGGGGTTGAAGTTAGAAAACACTAAAAGAAAAACCCACAACAACTGTATTTTAGGCCATGAGAACAAGGAAAAGTGGAACTGTTGATTATAAATAGCAGTAGATTATCTACCACTGGCAAGTTTGTAAGACTTTTCTTTAAAATTCTCATCTAATGGAAATGAGAATCAATTTTGGAAAATGTTATAGCCACAGCCACTACTGCATGAGAGCACAGTGGCTACCTCTTACTCATCACCTGCCCTGGTCAATATGATGTGTATAGATACTCTAAGAGCTACAGTGGAAGACAGATACCTTTTTATTTTTTATTTAATTTTAGAACACCCTCTTTCTGAAAAAAAAATCTCTCCATATAATAAAGGTAACCCAGTTGAAATGTTATAAACAAGTGTTTATAACGTTATAAACAAGCAAGCATTTTCATTTTCTCTTCTCACCTCTAATTTGCTTCAACAGAACATCTGGCTGATCGGTTTAGCTACACAACAGATTTATTTCAGGCTTTCACAGTAAAAGTCTGTTTAGAAACTGTGGYAGTTTGCACATCAAAGCAGGAAGTGAATAGCACAGATGACTATAGCTTAAAATTATTCCTRCTTTTTACAGAACTGAAGTTTATTAGATAGCAGGCCTGGATCAGGTGTAAGACTAGCTACTGTCGCTAACAGAAATTCTCACGCACTGATAAGAGTTCAGCAATAATTTTGCAGGCAAAAAAAAAAAAAACATGTAAAATTAGTGTTGTTTTAGCTCAGATATTTTATGGAAATAAGTAAAACAAATGTTGTAGGGTGAGGCGTTATCAAACTAAATTGAAAAGGGAGTGAAACGAAGAAGCCTTTTTCAAGTATCACATTCAATTCTTGAATTCTTTTGACCTCAAAAGGTACTGAAAAGCCTTCCAATGATACCAGTTAATGCACTGAAAGGTACTACCTTTCCCCACATTCTTTTCTTCCRTAATAATAAAAAAGGGCAGTCTTAGTTTCAGGGTTTCAGACACAGTCCATTGAGTATTGCATACAATGTTCCACAAACTTTTTCTACAGTCTGCCTGTTTTATTTCTGTTTTCTGTATTTTTATACCTGTGGCACAGGACACACTAGACAGAGGGCATCCTACCCTTTATTTATTTATTTATTTATTTATTTATTTATTTATTTATTTATTTATTTATTTATTTATTTTAATGGCAAGAAGGCTTTCCGGAAGCCCTTGTTCCAAATCCGTGACAGCTAGCCAGATGAATAGCACAGATTCACTCTAGTGACACCCACTCATCCTCCAGGTATGAAACTACGCCACCCTATCACCACGTACTATCTCAGCACCCTAAATCTTACTTGAATAGGTTGTGCTCTTCCCTCTCTACTCCAGACTGAAAGCTCTRGTGGTTCATAGAATCACAGAATGCTTCAGGTTGGAAGGGACCTCAGAGGTCAWCTAGTCCAGCCCCCTGCTCACACAGGGTCACCCAGAGCAGGGGGCACAGGGCTGCATCCAAGCAGGTTATAAAGATCTCCAGAGAAGGAGACTCCACAACCTCCCTGGGCAGCCTGTGCCAGGGCTCTGGCACCCTCACTGTCAAGAARTGTTTCCTTAAGTTCCTGTGGAACTTTTGGTGCCTCAGCTTGTGGCCGTTTCCTCTTGTCCKGTCGCTGYCCACCACTGAAAAGAGGCCGCCCCCTCCTCCTCRCTGCCTCCCTTGAGGTATTTATACACGCTGATCAGGTCCCCCCTCAGYCTYCTCTTCTCCAGGCTGAACAGRCCCAGCTCCCTCAGCCTTTGCTCACAGGGCAGATGTTCCAGGCCCCTGGTCATCCTCGTAGCCCTGCGCTGGACTCTCTCCAGCAGCTCCACATCCCTCTTGGACTGGGGAGCCCAGAACTGGACACAGTCTCCAGACGTGGCCTGACCAGGGCTGWGTATAGGGCGACAATCACTTCCCTCGACCTGCTGGAGACGCTCTACTTAATGCACCCCASGATCCCGTTGGCCTTYTTGGCCACCAGGGCACACTGCTGCCTCATGGTCAWCTTGTCRTCCACCATGAYRCYSAGGTCCCTCTCTGCGGGGCTGCTCTCCAGCAGGTCCACCCCTAATCTGTACTGGTGTCCAGGGTTATTCCTCCCCAAGCGCAGGACCCTGCACTTGCCCTTGTTGAACTTCATGAAATTTCTCACCGCCCAGTTGTCCAGTCTGTCCAGGTCCCTCTGGATGGCAGCACAGCCCTCAGGGCTATCAGCTACTCCTCCCAGTTTGGTATCACCAGCAAACTTGCTGAGGGAGCACTCCAGCCCTGGCCAGCCAGAAGTTGCCATTGCTCTGGTTGCCTCTGCGCTTGCTTTCACCAAGGCTGCAACGCGGTGGGGCTGAGTTCTGGCCACTTTGATTTCTCTTTATTAGGTCTGCGAATCTCTATTCCTTACAGAAAGGGTTTGAAGCACAATCATTTAGAAACTACTACACTTTCTTCTACAGATCAAATGAACCTCTGTTCCTTCTCAGCATTTATCATCATTAATAACTCACTAATACCTACTTCACTTTAKGTGACTACCTGTGCTTACATAAAAGCACATGCACACATCAGAATAAGAGATCATCTAGCACAACAGTAAAAAGCAGAATCTATAAAAATAAGGAACAAAAAAGGTAACTTGCTACCAGAACTGTTCAACTGCAGAAATTTGTGTGTGCTTTAGTGGGGGAGGGCAGGACTTAACAAATTCAATCAACAACCCTGCACACTTCCTGAGCAGATCTCTTGTACTGATTTTGTCATTAAATTAGAAGGCTTCCATCACAGATGTATCACACACGAGCTTTACAGAACCAGGTGCAGTGATAAGCAATGTCTTCCCTTGCTGCTATCTGAAAAGTAGCTGAAGCTTATAGAATGTAGGATTGTATTTGGATTTTAATCCATACCTGTGATGCCTAGCAGTTTCCTGGGGTACAACTCCTCAGTGTTTCCTATTGGGAATGGCAGAAATGCTGAAGTAGCACACTTCATAAGGGCACTTCTGAAAGAAGGACCCTCACAGAAACAGGCACTTCTGAAGCAGAACTGGCTGACTGCAAAGGGCAGTGTCTACTATGAGCATGTGGTTGAAAAAAGCCTTAGGATCACAGTCAGGTTCAAAACTACTCAGCACCCACAAGCTGTTCCTATTTCCAGATCTCCTCAACAAAGCTGTGGCACGGGTTGAACAAGATACATATCCTATTTATCCTACATATCTGAGGCCAAGGCAGAGACTGTTGCTCCAACAGAGAATTTTGTCTCCTGCTGTCCA